AGTCCCGGATAGCCCACGTCGACTACATAGGTGGGCGGAGTAGGTCGTAAACGTATGCGTAGCAGCAGACCGTAGTAGGAGTACGTAGCACGTAGCAGAGACAACCATTACAAGGAGCAAGTACAAGTCCCGCAGGTGGTATACGGAACGCGAAGAGACCAATCAGTGGATGAGTGAGTGGTGAAAGGCGATACAGCAAGCGGGGGGTTACAGGTGTCGTCAGCGAACGAAAGGGATGGGCGTGCGGTGGCCGCAAGATAACCAAGTGAAGGTGTAACACGAGGCATGGTCCAGGAGCATTTTGAGCAGACCGGTTTGCTGTCTAGAGAGTTCCGCGATTACTTGGGCTTCTGGAGCATAGACATGATAGCCTCGATGCCCTTCATGCCCAGCCCGCCCTTAGGGTAGCAGATGTACAGCTGCGCAAGGAAGACTATTAGCACCTAGCGCTGGACCTCCCGAGATTCAGTTAAATACTCACTGGGTCCTGCCACGTCCCGAACTTGCTCCGGAAGTCACCCTTGCCGGTGAGGTTGAACGTCGAGGACAGGCCATTGTACGCCTTCTCGAGCGTCTTGACCCTGAAGCCGTGCACGTTGTCGGCAGGGTGCAGCTTGTCGATGGCCCCCGCGCCGAACGTGGCGGACTTCACGCCAGCGTCGCCGAGCTTCTTGATGACGTACGTGAGGATGTACTCGATGGCACCCAGGGGGGCACCCGGGAACTCGAGCGCCCATTTGATCTGGAAGCCGTGTTTGGGTGCGAGCTGGGCCAGGACGACCATCGCGCAGGGCTGCAAGATGTCGTACGTCAGAACACTGAAAAAAGACACGTGAAAGGGGAGCACGTACCTTGCCCTCCTTGTCGACAGCGTAGAAGTACTTCCGGTGCTTCATGTCGTCGAACGGACGCACACCCGTGAGGTGGATCTGCGTGCCCTTGCGGTTCGCTGCCCACTCTCGGCAACGCTCCTCGAGCTGCGCCTTCACCTGAGCGTCCATCTCCTGGCCGACCTCGATGATCTTGACACCCTCGCGCTCTGCGCGGTGGACCTTGCGCCGCACGGTCTTGTCGTTCTCGACGGGGTCGACCTCGGTCGGGTTGATGCGCTCCTCCGCGACCGCCACGACGGCGCCCCAGCCGTGGTCCTCGGCGAGACACTTCTCGGTGATCTTGTCAACGCAGCACCAGACAGGCTTGAGGTTCTGCTCGTGCAAATGCGCAAGATACGCCTTGACGACGCGCGGTACCTGCTCTGGCGGGCATAGCGGGATCCCGAAGGTGACGGCAAAGCCGTTCTCGGGGATGTAACCGACGGCCGCACCGGTGGCCTTGTCACGCCAGACAGTCCAGGCGGGATCCGTCCAACTCGTGTTGGTCGCGTCACCGTACTTGGCGATGAGCTGTCGAAGCAGGGATAGAGCGTCAGCTTCCCCTGAATTCGTCTCTCTGGAAGTGTGAATGTACGTACGTTCTCCAGTGGTGGCAGATCGCCGGTTCTCTTCCCAGGCTGGAAGGTCGTCGACTCGGGCCCATGGAGGATGAGCGAGTTCGCAGCGATGTACGCCGCCTCGGTGGGGTCGTGTCCGCGCTTGATGAAGCTGCGCGGATCGCGTGGGAAGAGGCTCGCCCAGCGCACGTTGCCGAGCTTGAGGAAGAGCATGACGACACGCTCAAGGCCGACACCTCCACCACCGTGCTGAAGACCTATCAGTACATGACGGACTGGAATGGATAGAGGGTATGACTCACCGGTGGGCAGCCCCATCTGAATCCGTCGACGTACTCCTGCATCGTCTCGGGGTCGATACCCTCCTCCTTCATACGCTCTTCCAGGAGCGGCGCGAAGTGGATACGCTGGCCTCCGGAGAGAATCTCCTCTCCGCGAAGGAAGAAGTCGTACGAGTTCGACCAACGCTGAACGAGTCGTCAGCATTTGTCCTTTGAACACCATGTGCAAATGGGAACTCACGTTGTCTTCGGGGTCGGGCATAGTGTAGAACGGCCGAACCTCGAGCGGGAACTTGTCGATGATATAGAAGTCCGCGCCATACTTCTCCTTGACAAGCTGTCCGAGACGCTGCTCTGCGCGCGTGCTGAGATCCTCGGTCTCCGAGAGCTCGCTACCGTCGTCCTCCGTCCATCCCGCCTCCTTCAGCATGTGGATAGCTTCTGAGAACCTCAGACGGGGAGTTTCGTCAAGGATGACGACATCGTCGTGCGGGTAGAACTTCTTCACCGTCTCGATCTGTTGCGAACGCACGCAACATGTCAGCATGTTCCAGAACGCCACAAAATCGTATATAAACAGTTCAAATTCGGCTGGACAGGACGCACCTCATCTCTGAACTTCGACTGCAAGCCCTTGAAGATGGTCTTGAACAGGTCGTCCAGCAGATCGACAACTTCGTGATAATGGCTGTCGATGGCCATTTCCAGGTCGAGGCCGGTGAACTCGGTGAGATGTCTATGGGTATTGGAGTTCTCGGCTCTGAACACTGGTCCAATCTCGAACACCCGCTCCATGTCCGCAGCGATACACATCTGCTTCGCGAGCTGCGGGCTCTGCGCAAGGTACGCTGGGCGCCGGAAGTAGTCGACTTTGAAGACCGCTGCCCCAGACTCCGTCGACGAGCCCTGCAGCTTGGAGGAGTGGATCTCCGTGAAGCCGCGCTCCGTCAAGAAGGAGCGGAACAGCTCGCAGACACCTGCATGTATGCGGAAGATCGCTTGAGACGCGGGAGACTGCATCCTCATCAGTCAGCGCTCTTCGCAGAGCACAAGGACATTGGAACATACCCGCAGGTCGAGAACGCGGTGGTCGAGACGAGTGCGCTCGCCTACTCTAGCGAACTGAGCGTCCTCCTGTGCAGATGTTTCAGCATATAGATCATTAGGACTGCAAAGGTTATCATACCCTCTCGTAGTACTCCTTTGGCCGGGAAACGTCTTCAACTTGATATGGAAGGGTCGTAGATGGTGCGGAGATTACATGTAACTATAGGAAAGGACGCCATCAGTCTGTGGAGCCGAAACGCAGCCGCAATGCCAACGTACCTTGCGAATCTTGATCTCATACTGGTGTATACTCGTGCTATGCACGTCCTGTTGATCTGGGGGCGGCCTCTGAACGACACCCTCGACGAGTACGATCGACTCTCGCGCGATGCCCTCTGCCCATCGGACCATTACCTGGGACACCTTGTCGGGCTCCTCAGTCAAGACGCCTTGTACGGTAGTGAACTGGTGGCGGAAGATGAGGAAGACAATCTTGGAGCCTGCAGAGAATCCCGGTTATCTCGCGTCCTCCGAAAGAAGCTGATCAAAGTACAAACCTAGCGGGCGAATATGGTGAACGCGTGCGCGGAATGTGACGACATCTCCCTCGTTCTTATTCGGAATGTCACGCAGATTGTCATATTGGCGATCTAAAGCGGCCAGTGAGTTCACCCAACCGTAGGACGGGGTCTTATGCACTCACCTGCTCGTGTCTGCGACATATTCAACGGGAGATCGCCCCAGTTGTCCCGCAAGGGATCCTGCCGAAATTGTCAGCATATTGAACGCGTTTACTGTGCACAAACGGCGCTCTGCGAGAAGCCTTTCGCGCTGCGTCTGAGGCGGGTCGAACGTGTTCCCAATCATTCCGCGCAGCATCTTCCCTGCTCCTCCCAGACGCGCTCGCAGGCTCCCACCCGCCATCACTGAGATGCGGACACGTACCTCGTCATGTGCCTTCTTCATGCGCTCCTTCCGCAGACGAGCATCCTCCTCGTCCTTGGCTTCGCGCTCTGCCCTGCGCTCCTCCTTCTGCTCGGTGAAGGACCGATGATCGCTGGCGGCGCTACCTGGACGCTGCAGGTCCTTGGCCGCGTCTTTCGACTGCTGGTGCATGGCGGCGGTCTCGCCCTTGGCATTGGTGTCGTCGATTTGTACGTGAGGCTCGGACGCCTGGTCGCCCTTGCCGTTCATGAGGGGGTGTGCGTTGCCGTTCGGGGCATTACGGGTGCTGGCTTTGGAGGCCGAGCGGGTATGCGAGACGACCTTTGAGATCGCCTTTCGGATGGAGGCCATGGTGGTGGCGGGGAGAGGTAGTGGGTGTATGCGATGTATGCGTAATGCGCGGGGGAGGACGAGAGAGAGGTATATGAGGCCTGGCTGAGCAGGGCCGGAGAAAAGAGTGCCGTGCGTGTGTTGGGTCTGACTCTGCCCGCCGGCCTTTAGGTGAACAACGCCCTCGACCAATCCAGACACGACGTCATCGGCCAAATCTGCCCAACGTCATCCATCACTCCCGCCAAATCTGGAAAATGCCCTGTCCGCGGTTCGCCGACCGTCTTGGCGCGGCCCCTTTCGCGTTTTGTGCTTACTCAACGCCGCAGAAAACATACGCTATCGCAGTCAGCAGCGCGTCCGACGGGTTTCGCGTCCTCGGAGGCGTCGTTTCGTCGTTCTGTCGCGTCCGGAACATGCGTAGCAGCCCGCTCGCCAGGAGTTACGATACGCCTGGTCTGGAGCACGCTCCTCATCGTTCGCGGCACCAGTTGGCAACGAGAATCAGGCTCGCACTCCACTCAACACGATGCGCCGTGCGACAATGCGTCCGTGGCCGGCGTCGTTACGATCGTATGCACTCTGTTTCGTCATACGAGAATCCCTATTCCTTCGGAGCCACCGGGACCCGTGTAAGCTGCAAGTTCACGGACGTCCGACAGAGTCGGCCGGTGAATTCGTACTGCACCGGCACGCTGCGTCGCGCTCAACGAGAAGAGGACGCGAGAGCCATCCCGAACCCTCCCGAATAACAAAACAGCGCTTCCTGTCACACCCGACGGGGCTCGAACGTCGACCCCGCGAGTGGCTGGACCGTGGCTCACCGCCCCTTGCTACGCGCCGTCACCAGCCTCCCTCTGGACCTCCTCGACTCCTCCGCACGCAAAAGACACCGAATCATCCAGCCAGTTGAGTCTACCTGACAGAAAGAAAAAAGTGTATCCGATTACCCCCGGCGGGACTCGAACCCGCAACCTCCAGATTGGTACGTGATCCCCCACGTTAGAAGTCTGACGTCATAGCCATTAGACAACGGGGGCTTGTGAACGAAGGGCTACTATACCCAATAAACAGCTGTGCATCCATTTCTTCAATCGACTGTGGCTCCCTTGCTCTCTCCCTCTCGTCCAACACTACTGTACGACTTTCACCACTGTCTGGTGCGATTCCAAGTTCTCCGTCCATGTCTCCGTCCTTCTGGTTGACTATGTATGTGACACCCAACCTCTACATGCTTGCTCTCTGCAGTTCAAGATTTCGCTTCGTCTAGGAGCTCCCATCAACCTGCGCGACCTTCAGTCCTCTCTAACCATTCCCTGTACGCCCGCTCCGCGTGCTTGCGATCCCGGCTATCCGCAGGCGGCTTGAGCAGAACGGCCTTCACGTCTGTAGTGCGACAGTTCTCTACAATCCGCCTCAAACTGCCCATCATCTGGCTGAACTCGATAATTGGATTCCCGCAAAATCCGCCTCTCGGCTCTGGATGCGGCTGCATGACTACGTGGCGCAAAGAGGGGTACGTCCTAGGGGGCGGCGGCGGCGTCGGCGTCGCGGTGTCGAAGTTACCAGGGATGCGCAGGTCCCTGGAGTACCGTCGGCGTTCGACTGTGACTCCTAGCGCGCAGGCGAGTTGCGGGACATGCCCCGAATCCACCCCCGTTACCCGCAAGTGGGTGACACGCGGGGCACGCGTCGACCACTCCGGAAGGTGTAAATCGGCATCGGGGTACTCAGAGACGAGGTTCAGGTGAGTCAACGCAGGGAACATGGGCCCGTGTGCAGCGACTACGGAATGGGCGGCCCCGTCGTGGATGAAGAGAGCCTCAGGGGCCAGCACGTCGATGAAGGTCAACTCGCGTAGGGTGGGGAACGGCCCCTCAATGATGGGGTAATTGAGCCTTCCTCCGTGGCGGAAGCCTGACTGTATCGCCAGCGTCAGGAGATTTTGCCCGACCAGACGGAAGAGTTTGCGGGCTGCATCGAGGTACGCAGTAGGCTCGAAGAGTCCCTTGATTGGTCGCAACTTCCGAACCCGGTACTCCTGTTCCTCTTCCACATACGGTGTCTCCTCCGTACTCTGAAGTGTCTCTTCTAGCTCCAGTTGAGCAATATCCTGGATTGGCTCCTCTCCTGATGATGTACGCAAAGCCACGTCTTCAGCACTTGAATCGTCCGGCGACGGCGGCTTTGCCGCTGTTCGAAACCATCCGGGTCGCGGCGAGAGCGAACGCGTCCGGTCGTACGTGCCACGACCGCACAGGCGTGTTGGGAATGCCACGAAGAGATGACGGACGTGTGGCCTATCGTTAGGGTCCAGCTCGCGCTCGCGCTCATACAACTCGAGGAACGGGGAGAGGCGCCGCGGGTTCGCGACGAGGGTCACAGAATGGAACCGCGCCGTGCGGGAAGCGGCGCGGAACGCTTTCGAGACGGCGGAGAGCGAGCCGCCTGTGTATCCTCCGTCGGTGCAGGCGAGCTCGAAGATGGTGCGAAGCGTCTCCTGGGGCAGGGTGTCCATGCGGGATGGGCCTCGAGCGCGGGTCTGGCGAGGTGAGCTCTGGTTGCACAGCTTGCGGTGGACGGTGACTAGAGAGTTCGACGGTCCTGCTCGCAGATGTGCGCAGATATATGTAAGAGGGTCGAGAGAGGCCGCGCCGGAGCCGCTGCGGCACCCGAGGCCTGAGAGCCTCTGCTGCGCTCGAGAGAAGGAACGACTCGGATCGCTGTCAGGTGGCCGGTCGCAGTCCTACTCTGACTCCGTGAGTGCTCCCTCCGGTAACGAGCGGGAACAAACCTCATTACACGCGATCGCAGCGCACATCACATCGTACGTCAGGCTGGACCCTTGCGCTGGCGGAGCCCAGCTCATATCGGCGACGAGGTATGTGCTAACCCTACATCTATTATTCGGACGTCAGGTACTCAACAATCATGCTGTAGGGATCATGTCGGGCGAGTCGCCTGCAGAGTCAAGATCGCCATTTGCCGTAATACAATGATGCAAGAGCCCGTCCAGACCTACGGTCCTCGTACAGACTGGCGAAGGAGACCCTTCGCTATCAATCTCAAATATTGCCCTAGCTGGAGAGACCGAGTCGCAGGTCAACGCAACCACTATTCCCGCCTCGCGAACAAGCATCTTACCCAACTCCGACGCAACTCCTTTCGACGAGTCAACGTGCTAGTCCTCCGGCCAACATCCCGCCTCCCCCCGGATCCGTTCCATCCAGTCCAAACGCACTTCCTTAGCGTGTTGCAGGCTCGGAAGATCCTGGAGTTCATCCAGGACGACGCACTTGATGTCCGTCTCCCGACACAGCGCCTCGAGCTGCGCCATGCCTCGCTTCAGCGCCGCACGCGCCCTCACCATGTTCCCACATCCGCCTCGCTTCGGCCTCGCCCCGGCCTGCACGACGATACATCGGAGGTCCGGGTGCGGTGAGGATCCAGACGGAGAGGGCGCCGTGGAGAGCTCGGTGGGCGCTGCAGCCTCAGTGACCACTGCCTCCGGCTCGATGGGTTCCATGGGTACGCCAGCGAGGACTGCGAGCTCGTGAATGTTCCGGACGTGAGGCACCCCGGACACACGAATGTGGCTGATGCGGGGAGCGATGGTGAACCAGAGCGGTAAGTCTAGCGAGTACGCGCTGAAGGCAGGCATGAGGTGGAGGTGCGTCAGCGCTGGGAGGCAAACGGACTGGGCGGCGAGGACGTCCTCTGTGAACAGCTGCTTTGGGTCGCAGCGTCCATGCACAGTCAGTTCGGACAGGAGAGGGAATGGGCTGTCGAGGAAGGCGACGTTTGAGCACAAGGATCCTCCGGCGGCGGCTAGCCAGTTGATACCCAGAGTCTGGAGGTTGGGTGCGACCATGTGAATGAGCCTCCGGGCCTCGTCCACGGCTGCAGACGACTCGAGCGCGGCCGGCTGCATTGAGCTCGTGCCGGACACCGCGCCGCTTCCTCTTGCAGCCGTCCCCGCTGCGGCTCTAGCGGCGGCATTGGGAGGAGCCTGAGATGACGATGCTGGTGGTCGGATAACACCACGGAGGATCAGAGCGGTCTTGAGGTCCGTACAGGGGAGCGTAAGGAGTAAATGGCGCACGTGCGGCGGCGTCTGCGAGCCTTCGGACTCAGCCAGGCTGCGCTCACGCTCATAGAGCGCGAGGAACGAGTCGAGGTGCGCTTTGTCGCCCCGCAGGTGTACGCTGCGGAAACGGCTTGGGCGGACGGCTGCGCGCAAGCGTTTGCAGGTGAGGGAGAGAACGTTTCCAGTGAGGCCGCCATCGGTGCATGTGAGCTCGACAATGCGTTGTATCAGGTTTAGCGGCAGTATGTCTAGCAGGTAGCACTTGTAGGGGTATTCCATACTGTCTTGGAGAGAAAGGGTCGTCCGCCGGTCAAAGAGAGGCGAGCCTTCTTGTACTCGCGATGACAGAAGGCGCTGATGAGGCTGTATTCGATACTGTTAGCGATGGGATCTCCATCAACCCGCGGCACCGGTCAGAAAGGGTGCTGACTCTAGCACAGACACCGTGTACGTAGATGGATCGCACCATCTGCGACCCGCATGGGGGAGTCTGACTCACTCGAGACGTCGTGCTGACAGCTGTTTGCAGATCGATAGACCCACATCAATGATTTTACGTGGACAGTGGTTCTGGGCGGAGAGTCGGCAGAAGGCAACAAACGCCCGGAGTTGGCGGGGGAGGGGAGGGTCGCTGTCAACGGAGTTCTCGCTTGACCCTTAGACGACGTTAAACGAGGAACTCCGCGCCGTCGGACACCAATCACTGTGTGCGTAACTTTCGCACCAAGGGCCTATCGATCTGAAAACAGCTGGAAGCTGCGGCGGATGGGCGCAATCACTAACATGGGCATGACAGGGACCGCGACTTGGTATAGTCATGCCGCGGTCGTCAGACTCACCGCGAGCCAAGCTTCAACTCGAAAGGTAGCCACCTTCTGCCGGATGTGCAAGTGCTACAAGGACTACTTACTTATCGCAGCTGCACTCGTGGACTTGTAATGATCCGAATGCGGCCGCGCATTGAAAGGGGACACGGCAGCAATGCGGATCTGGAACGTCGTTGCACCTCTGCTGCGAGGGACGCTGGCAGAACAGCAGAGGTGGTCTCCAGTAGCAGTGGCCACATGCGTACGTGCGACTAACAGTCATCAAGACGAACTCCGAAGGCTCGACGGAGTCATATTCACTCGCTGGAAGGGCGGCCAAGCTCTCACACTTGCGACCTGAAGACAATGGTGGTACCTAGTACGTACTTCACGGTTGCATAGGACATTAGCCACAACCTGCGCAAGATAACGCACGCCAAGCGGACATTTGTGACTTGGCTCCGACCCCGTAATCCTGGACTACCCACGAAGTTGAATCTACGCGATCGTAGACATTCACGATATCTGGTAGCTCCTCTGAGAGAATAGTCAGCATCCAGCATCTGTTCGTACTCACGAGATTGATACTCACCGCGATGACCAGTCCGTAATGCGACAGGTATGTCTTGTCAAACCTCCTGATATCCTCGACTTTGCACGCGCGGGTCGCTCGGATAGGATAGTGCGTATGCACAGGGTCCTTCCAGCACCCCGAGCTCGGAAGGCGCTCAGAGAGGTCGAGCCTGAGCCTCTCCTGAGCATCGGGCGGTCTGTTGTCGTCAGTCCGTACGCGGCTTTCGGGGTGGCACGCCTCCAGCACGACCGCTTCCCTTCTGATCGCACCATCTCCCCTGATTAGGAGCTGAGGACCTGCCGCGTCCTCGAGCCCTTTTGCTTCCCGATCGTCAAATTCGGCAAACGGGGGGAGTAGAATCATGCGCGTCCCGTCCGGGCCCCACTCATCCCATGGGACTCGGGGTGGGAATGCTTCACGTTGAGGCGACAAGCGATCAAACTGCGCGAAAAGGGTACGGAGGGGCACCATTAGGACGTACCGCTCCTCATGTTCCTCTGCTGATTGACCTTCTCGCCCATTCGTGCTGATATTCTTTAGTCCCATGTGCAGGAAGAAGGTAGTAAGCGTGGG